ATATGATATCTCTCAAATGGCCGCCTCTGGCGTTGATGACGTATTGTGCCCTTTTTACTGCATTTCCAACGTTTTTGCCAACATTTCGGCCGGAATAGCTGCTATATCTTCACGAAAGTTGTCCTTGAGCTCTTATACGGTCCTTGGCTTGTTAACGTAAACCTTTGACTTCAAATATCCCCACAAGACGATATCAGGCGGCGTCAAATCGGGCGAACGCGGTGGCCAGTCCAAATCACCACTTTTCGACAGCAAACGGCCCGGAAACAAATTCTTCAGAAAATCGATTCTTATGCGACTTGTGTGCGGTGGAGCGCCGTCTTGTTGAAACCAGAACTGCCTCATACGCTTTCGACGAATAATTGGCATCACAAAATTGGTTATCATGTCGCGATAACGCTCCTGATTGATGGTAAGAGCATGGCCATTTTCATTTTGAAAGAAAAACGGCCCAATGACTGTTTTCGTACTAACGCCGCACCAAACTGTGACTTTTTCGTCATGAAGAGGCACTTCTTGAATCTCCTGAGGATTTTCAGTGGCGTAAAAGCGGCAATTTTGCTTATTTACGGTCCCATTCAATGTGAAATAGGCTTCATCGGACATGATAATTTTGTTCCAAAATTGCTCGTCATCTTCGGCCATTTCGATGACTCTTTGTAGAGGTTCCCGGAGACCTCAGAACACTTACTAAAAGCATTTAGAGATTTTCGGGTTTATCAGACAAATTTCTATAAAAACAGAAATTTTCAGGTACATAATTCTGTAAAAAATCGTCGAGGTCTCGGATATATTTATCTAAACATGTAGAGATTTCCAGAAAAGTTGTTTGAAAGCGAGGTTAAACTTAAAAAAAACGAAATTTTGGAGATCCCTTTTCACCATGACCATACAAAAAACTTAAAACTATATTGATAGTTTTTGATAGGAGATACCGTTATATGGGGGATACCCTTAACAATTGGCCCAATATTAATGATTTTGATAGATTAGCTGCTTGTTATGAAGGTTTATGGTTATAGTTGTTGTTGTTTACTTTTTATATCCTACACAACTATGTTGTCAGGGTATAATAGCTTTGTGCAGCCCCAAATATTAGTCCTAGACCCACCGCCGCGAAATATTGGTCCTAGACCCACCTTTAACTATACCGATCTTCATATCTTGACTAGCTGAGTCGATCTGGACATGTGTGTCCGTCCGTCCGTCTGTCCATTATAATTTGTACACACGATACAGGCCACAGTTATGGACCAATCATCACGAAATTTTGCATGTAGGATGGGTTTTGGCCAATGAAGGCCAATCAGTTAATATTTAGGGGATGAAATGGACCAAATACTTAATTTTTGTCCGTTTTTCTGGTGACTTCATTGGCCGCAATTAGGGCCCGAACAACACGAAATTTTACATGGAGAGGGAATCGGGCCAAAGAATAAGCGTGTCTGTTTTGATAAAGATCGGTCAATATTTAGCGAAAATATTTGTGTGAAAAATGTCAAAATTTGTATTCTATGGCGTATATATTTACTCTTGAAGGACGTAGACGAGATTGCTTTAACTTGATACCAATTGTATTGTCGTATGTACGCATATCGGATTAGTTGCAATCAAATATTTACAGATGTTTGCGTATTTAGATATTATTATGTAACCCTTTACCACACTAGAGGGCGGAAATATGGCGCTGATCGCTTTGAAATTTTTCATGAGGTTTCAGTTGTTGTCAAGGACAACGCCTATAATTTTCGGTGATGATCAGATAACAATTTTGGTATGTAGTGGACCGAAAACTTAATTTTTGATGTTTTTCGAGTCGATATATAGGCCACAATTATATGCCGAATATCGTAACATAACCCACGGTGAAGGCCAAGATCAGAATATTGAACCACTCAAAGTTAGATTTTCGTGGAAGTTGTGTAGGGTATCATATGGTCGGTCCGGTCCAGTGTTGCCAAAACTTTGTTGAGAAAAAAATGCTAGTTTTTATTGAAAAAAATGCTAGAAAGTACTAAAAAATTTAAAAAAGTGCCAGAAAAAAATGCTAAAAATTTCTAGAACAAAATTGTTAATATTTAATAATGAAATATTAATCAGAAACCCAATTTATTCTTAAAGGCTATTCGTTGTCGATTTTGCCATGTCCGTCCGATTGAGGTCGCAATATTGAAGACAGAGCTTTGGAATTTTGCACGTACGTTGGTACTACTCCTATGAGATTTGATATTGGAAATGGAATATATCGGTCCATTTTTGGTACACCATACCCCAATATTTGTTTTTAAGATTTTAGGCACATTTTCCAACCTAAATTGCTGTATATTTGTATATTTCGTTCTACCTGGATATATAGTGTTCTTACTATAACTTATCAATATTGGTCCACTTTTAAGGGTAGTTCTCATCAATTGCATTGGTTTTAATTTGTTTAAATTTTGTTGAGTAAAAAATCTCCTTATCAAAAATTATTAATATGGGTATTATATTTTGGGGTAGCCCCCAGAGAGCGGTACCCTCCCCATTATTCGACATTTTGGGGACTTCGGACACGCAACCGAATTGACTAATTTTTTTCTTGTTTTTTTGTTTTGATGGGGTTTGAAATCTTCCTACTAAAATATAAAAACTAATAATGTCCAAATTTGGTTAAGGTAAATAAATGTAATTTCACATTGTGTACAAATATGAAGACAATTATCGATTTTCGTCCCATTTGCGTACTTTTAAGGGTTTGTAATCTCATTCCTATAAAAAATATGTTTGCCGGTATTTTTATATTTTAATCCTTATTCTGGCACAATCCCAATATAAAGGGGTACGCTCGCCTTTTCGGTAATCTAAAGTGGTTATAACTTGGCATTCGGGATTCCCGCTGTATAAAAAACTTGTTTTCAGAAAGTTCCAACATAATTCATGTTGATTATTTTTACATCGCTCTCATAAAATGTACAACTTAATTTGGTTTTTCATTTTCCCAAAAAAAAAAACAATCTACCAACAGACCATTTTTTAAGAAATTTGGAATGCACGGCACATGCTGGATAGCATTGGAAAATCAAATTAATCGCGTGAAACATAGCGAAAATTCAATGCGTCAATATGAAATCGAAGAACGAGATTTTTTGAATTAAAACCAAAATTTTGTAAAAAATTCCTAAGAAATTAAAAAATGCTAAAAAAAAGTGCTAGGTGCTAGATCAATTTTTTTGGTGTTAAACGAGTTCAAAAAGTACTAAATCTAGCACTAAAAGTGCTAAATTGGCAACACTGGTCCCGTCCGACTATACTGCTCCGATCACTGGTTTAATTTTTGTTTATTTTTCTCTGTCTACCCAAAACTTTAAACCGAAATGTCCCCCAGCTACCGCCTCCTCCTCCCTCCATTCAATATTTTGTTTTTTTTTTCTTCTTCTTCTTCTTTAACCATATTAGCCTTAATATCAACCTACCGTCCATACTCCTTGGCTGTAATTTGGTAATCCGGGACTTTGTCGGTAAAAAAAACTTCTTCATAGAACACTTTCAATATTAATCGATGTTTCTACATACAGTAGATATCGGATATAAGCACATCTCAAATAAGAAAAAATCGCATATAACAAAGATTATCAAAAACACCGAGCTTATACTTTCTTATATCCGATAAATCCATATAAGAAAAAAACGCATATAAGAAAGAAATCTCCGTTTTTTTAGTTCCTTATCCGATATCCACTGTATTGCAAAAATCACCCTAATTTTTCGGTATTTTCAAGGAAGTGGATCATTTTTCCAATCTGAGCCTCTACTTGGTATTTTCTTTTTCTGTGACAACAATTTGGCCTACCCTATCAATTTTAGGTATTTTGAATGCCCACCTCATTTTGGAGGATTGGTCCGACCGAATTTAAAGTCGCTATGTTGGGAATACAATTTTATGAAGTTTTAGCTGTGTCCATCTGTGTGTTTTTGAAGCCATGATATGTCGCATAATATTGAGATATTCGGTATAACCTTCAGAACCTGCCGAACTTAACAAGGTTTCTATTTTCTAACACATTTTGTAATATATTTCCTAAAGGAATATTCGGCTAATGTCAATAATACTTGTCACGACCGAATATGGTATGCAAAAATTGTTATACCTTTATTGAAAAGTTATAATCACTGAGTGACCCGAATATCAAATGAAGTATATTCCCAAACCAATCCAATACTACAGTTAGCATGGGTTATATATTGATTGTTTAGAAGTACCAGAATTAATGTCGAAAATGATGGAGTCCAGTAAATGATTTTTTTATGGAATAGCATTTGCAATGGTTCTATGGACCTCTAAGTTTCCCAATTTGAAAATTGAAAATTTTACTGACACTAAACTCTAATACGCCACTAGATGTCAGAGCATGTCCTATAGTTAATTCATACACCAAATCCGGAAATGCTATACTAATTGTTACTAGAACCCTGTAGATGGCACTATACAGCAAAATTACACAAAGCACCGCCAGGTGGTGCATCATCGCCAATGATAATTTTCACTAGGTGGCTCCACAGCAATATATATATATATATATAACAATAACAAAAAATAAGAAGTGAACACAGTCATGGAAGGTTGACGAATAAGGCAAGCCGAAGTTGTTGGAGACCAGCCGAATGTAAGCAACTCTAGGATTACCAGTAATATTTGCAAAAAATCTATAGTGTAGATTTTCAAAAAAGAAAAACATTAAATGTTGAGGGAGAGTGGTTAATACGTGAAGTCGAATTTTCATCAGCTTAAAGGTGAGACCCCCAATACTGAATTTCTAACAATTCAAGACAATTTTCATATTCACACCACACAAAATTTCTTCAATTTAAAATTTTTATTTCAAAAAAATTAAACGAATTTCTGAAAATGCCAATTTATCTCAGATTCCAATCGAGTCAATTCCGAAGCGATCATATCCTCTTAACCATAATAAGCAGCAGGATAACCATAGCTATAGGTAGCTGGATAACCACCATAATAAAATTGTGGTGCTGGCACAGGTTCAGGACGAGCCACTGGGGCTGGAGCTGGAACAGCGGTGGCCAAGGCAACCAAGGCGGCGAACAACAAGAAGAACTGGAAAAAAATATTTTTTTAATTATTTCCCAAGACTCGATGCTATTGGGAATCCCAAATTTTACTTACGATTTTGAACATTTTTGTAGAGTTTTGAAATGCACTTGTCACTTGTTTGAGAGTGAAAATTGAATTGTCGTATTGAAGTTTGATAATTGCCTTATATAGCAATGAGTATGGGTGATGATGATCTAAGAAGTTAATACGGAACTTCATCATATGAACGGAATTCAATTGTTATTCTCCTCATGTTCGCTACATTTAAAATGAAATAAATGCATTCAATTTTGAACACGTGTGGTATTGTTCAGACAGAGTGGCGTGTTTGAGGAGAATTAATTAAATTTATTAGAATTCTTTCCCTAATAGTCTTGAAAAAATTTCAACGCATTGGTCCCTAGAAAATATTCTTTAAAAAATCCTCGTCTTGTATGAATTGGTGCCCTAGAAAAATATTCTTTAAAAAATAAAATATTTGATCCACTAAAAAGTATTCTTAAAAAATACATGCCTTCTAACTGCGCAATAGTTATTTCGTAATAAATCTCCTCGAAGTTTCAGTCAAAACGTCTATGATGCTGTTGAATTTATTAATATTATTATTCATCTAAAGTGTATGGTACATGTGCAGAATACCCATGTTACCCATACGTATTGAAATCAGTTACTTCAATATTGATATTTGATCTGCCACCCTCACTTTCTATATAAAGAATTATTCTGGCACTGAAGTGACAAAACACATTTCCACTATCAACAAGTGAAAAAGTAAATTTCAAAACTATCCAAAATGTTCAAAATCGTAAGTAGAATTTGAATTTCGAATATTGACAATTACTGGAATATAATGAAAATTATTTTTCCAGTTCTTCTTGTTGTTCGCCGCCTTGGTTGCCTTGGCCACCGCTGTTCCAGCTCCTGCCCCAGAGGCTCGTCCTGAACCAGTCCCTGCACCACAATTCTATTATGGTGGTTATCCAGCTACCTATAGCTATGGTTATCCCGCTGCTTACTATGGTTAAGGAATTTCGATAATCAAGGACCAACGGAAATCGACCGGACAAATCTAAAGTTATTTTCTTCAGAAATTGGTTTAAATTGCACTTTAAATAAAAATTTAATTTTTAATAAATTTTAATTAAAAAAATATTTTTCCTGTCAGGGGAGTCTGGCCTTTTTCAAGAATATTTTTCTAGGGACCCATTCATACAGGGCATGTATATTTCAAGAATATTTTTCAGGGACCCATCCATACAAGGCGTGGATTTTTAAAGAATATTTTTTTGGGAGACCCATCCATACAAGGCGTGGATTTTTTAAAGAATATTTTTTCAGAGACCCATCCCCATACAAGGCGTGCAATTTTTAAAGAATATTTTTTGAGAGACCCATCCCCATACAAGGCGTGGATTTTTTAAAGAATATTTTTTGAGAGACCCATCCCCATACAAGGCGTGGATTTTTTAAAGAATATTTTTTGAGAGACCCATCCCCATACAAGGCGTGGATTTTTTAAAGAATATTTTTTGAGAGACCCATCCCCATACAAGGCGTGGATTTTTTAAGAATATTTTTCTAAGGACCCATAAAAGGCGTGGATTTTTTAAGAATATTTTTCTAAGGACCCATAAAAGGCGTGGATTTTTTAAAGAATAGAAGAGACCCATTACAAGGCGTGGATTTTTTAAGAATATAAGGACCCGTGGATTTTTTAAAGAATATTTTTTAAAAGGCATACAAGGGGATTTTTTAAAGAATATTTTTCTAAGGACCCATAAAAGGCGTGGATTTTTTAAAGAATATTTTTTGAGAGACCCATCCATACAAGGCCTGGATTTTTTAAAGAATATTTTTTGAGAGACCCATCCATACAAGGCCTGGATTTTTTAAAGAATATTTTTTGAGAGACCCATCCATACAAGGCCTGGATTTTTTAAAGAATATTTTTTGAGAGACCCATCCCCATACAAGGCGTGGATTTTTTAAAGAATATTTTTTGAGAGACCCATCCCCATACAAGGCGTGGATTTTTTAAAGAATATTTTTTGAGGGACCCATCCATACAAGGCGTGGATTTTTTAAAGAATATTTTTTGAGAGACCCATCCCCATACAAGGCGTGGATTTTTTAAAGAATATTTTTTGAGAGACCCATCCCCATACAAGGCGTGGATTTTTTAAAGAATATTTTTTGAGAGACCCATCCCCATACAAGGCGTGGATTTTTTAAAGAATATTTTTTGAGAGACCCATCCCCATACAAGGCGTGGATTTTTTAAAGAATATTTTTTGAGAGACCCATCCCCATACAAGGCGTGGATTTTTTAAAGAATATTTTTTGAGAGACCCATCCCCATACAAGGCGTGGATTTTTTAAAGAATATTTTTTGAGAGACCCATCCCCATACAAGGCGTGGATTTTTTAAAGAATATTTTTTGAGAGACCCAGGCGTGGATTTTTCCCCATACAAGGCGTGGATTTTTTCAAGAATATTTTTTTCAGGGACCCATCCATACAAGGCGTGGATTTTTTAAAGAATATTTTTTGAGAGACCCATCCCCATACAAGGCGTGGATTTTTTAAAGAATATTTTTTGAGAGACCCATCCCCATACAAGGCGTGGATTTTTTTTAAGGAATATTTTTTGAGAGACCCATCCCCATACAAGGCGTGGATTTTTTAAAGAATATTTTTTGAGAGACCCATCCCCATACAAGGCGTGGATTTTTTAAAGAATATTTTTTGAGAGACCCATCCCCATACAAGGCGTGGATTTTTTAAAGAATATTTTTTGAGAGACCCATCCCCATACAAGGCGTGGATTTTTTAAAGAATATTTTTTGAGAGACCCATCCATACAAGGCGTGGATTTTTTAAAGAATATTTTTTGAGAGACCCATCCCCATACAAGGCGTGGATTTTTTAAAGAATATTTTTTGAGAGACCCATCCCCATACAAGGCGTGGATTTTTTAAAGAATATTTTTTGAGAGACCCATCCCCATACAAGGCGTGGATTTTTTAAAGAATATTTTTTGAGAGACCCATCCCCATACAAGGCGTGGATTTTTTAAAGAATATTTTTTGAGAGACCCATCCCCATACAAGGCGTGGATTTTTTAAAGAGAGACCCATCCCCATACAAGGCGTGGATTTTTTAAAGAATATTTTTTGAGAGACCCATCCCCATACAAGGCGTGGATTTTTTAAAGAATATTTTTTGAGAGACCCATCCCCATACAAGGCGTGGATTTTTTAAAGAATATTTTTTGAGAGACCCATCCCCATACAAGGCGTGGATTTTTTAAAGAATATTTTTTGAGAGACCCATCCCCATACAAGGCGTGGATTTTTTAAAGAATATTTTTTGAGAGACCCATCCCCATACAAGGCGTGGATTTTTTAAAGAATATTTTTTGAGAGACCCATCCCCATACAAGGCGTGGATTTTTTAAGGAATATTTTTTTTATTTTTATTTCCTCGTTTATTCACTCAATGTTACATAGACAATTCCAATTTCCCAAATGCTAAACAAGCTTAACCATAGTATACACCAGGATATCCATAAGTATAGGCAGCAGGATAGCCACTGTAATAAACTTGAGGTGCTGGCAAAGGTTCGGGATTAGCAACTGGAGTGGGAACGGCAACGGCCAAGGCCATCAAGGCAGCGAACAACAGGAAGAACTAAAAAATAAAAAATTATAAAGCTTTTAAAACAACAACTAATTTGAATACAAATCACTTACGATTTTGAACATTTTTGTGTTGGTTTGGTACTGTACAAAACTTGTGAACAGAATGTATGCTGCTAACAATATTGGGTGCTCTATTTATAGTTGGGCGCCACTCAGGAGTTGCATAAATAAATTAATTATGTACGATGTCGCATCAGATGATGTTGTCATTGTTATGAAAATTAAATGCAATTTATTATTAGTTTTTGTTATTATTTTGAATTTTTTTATTGAACTACTCTATCGGAATATTAACTACTTATTGAGCACTATTGAACTATTCGGATAAGTTTAGTTTTTTTTTTGTATGATGTGGATTATTGACGAAGCGTTATGGTGTCATACTTGTACACTCAATCGTAAGGTGGAGCGTATATTAAATGTGTGATAGAATTTGAAAATAGGATTCATAGGTTTACGTTATGGTATAGCCCATCTAACAGCACCTTCCAGATTGCAGTATTTTGGGCACGTATTTCAACTATTTTGGGTGTAATTTCATATTATAAGAATATCCTTGGGCAGCATATCTTCCTACTAGAAACTTTGCCTTTAGACGAAATTCGTTTCAGACAATTTAAATTAGATTCAAAAGTGTCAGCACGAAGCCTGCCTGGTGGCATGGTTGCAACGATAACCGATTTCAAAATATTCCAATAGTACTCGTAATATGCCTTCCAAACACAGATCATCTTTGAATATACCTTCTCCATAAGCCTAGATGAAATCCTAAAATACTGAGGCATTCTGGTCCACACTATTAGCAATATTCAATAATCTTTGTTGACCATGCTTATGATGATCGGTGCTCAATTTCTAAAAAAAATTTAGTATAGATTTTTTTGTTTCAGAACTGTGAAACATTTAATTTTCAATTTCTTAATGTCCATAGAAATTATATCACACCTGAGATGAATATCAATTATGATCGCATTTCTCAGCAATTAATCCTACTTCTGTCCAAACACAATTTATCTTTCCTCAGAATACCATAAACTTCTCTATATAAAGGTATCATCCAGCATTGAAACATCAATTATATTATCACTCTTAAACAAGTGACAAGTGCATTTCAAAACTCTTCTAAAATGTTCAAAACTGTAAGTACATTTTTGGGATTTCCAATAGCATCATATCTTGAGAAATAATATACATTGTTTTTCCAGTTCTTCATGTTGTTCGCCGCCTTGGTTGCCTTGGCCACTGCTGTTCCAGCTCCTGTCCCAGAGGCTCGTCCTGAACCAGTCCCAGCACCACAATTCTATTATGGTGGATATCCAGCTACCTATAGCTATGGTTATCCTGCTGCTTATTATGGTTAAGAAGGAGATGCGACAATCATCACTGGATATGAACCGGCAACGTGACTCTTTTGTTTTCAGAAATTCGTTTCAATTTTGTTTACAATTTAAATTTTAATAAACGAATTGAATTTATAAAATATTGTATATCTCTACATGGATTTGAAGATTTCTATTGATGTATTCTATAATAAAAAGCCACACCTTTCCTAAACCCTAAAAATATTCTTTAAAAATAGCCACAACTTTTTTAGACTCTAAAAAATATTCTTTAAAAAATCCACGCCATTTTTTTTGGACACTAAAATATTCTTTAAAAAATCAACGTCATTTTTTTTGGACACTAAAATATTCTTTAAAAAATCCACGCCATTTTTTTACACTAAAAATATTCTTTAAAAAATCCCCGCCTTTTATTGACCCTAAAAATATTCTTTAAAAATCCACGCCGATGAGAAACCTTGCAAAAATGTCCTTTAAAAATCCACGCCTCTGATAGACCTTGAAAAATGTTCTTTAAAAATCCACGCCGATGATAAACCTTGCAAACATGTTCTTTAAAAATCCACGCCTCTGATAGACCTTGAAAAATGTTCTTTAAAAATCCACGCCGATGATAAACCTTGCAAAAATGTTTTTTAAAAATCCACGCCGATGATAAACCTTGCAAAAATGTTTTTTAAAAATCCACGCCTCTGATAGACCTTGAAAAATGTTCTTTATGGATGGGTCTCCCAAAAAAATATTCTTTAAAAAATCCACGCCTTGTATGGATGGGTCTCCCAAAAAAATATTCTTTAAAAAATCCACGCCTTGTATGGATGGGTCTCCCAAAAAAATATTCTTTAAAAAATCCACGCCTTGTATGGATGGGTCTCCCAAAAAAATATTCTTTAAAAAATCCACGCCTTGTATGGATGGGTCTCCCAAAAAAATATTCTTTAAAAAATCCACGCCTTGTATGGATGGGTCTCCCAAAAAAATATTC